AAAAAAAAAAAGAAAAGAATAAGTCTAATGCATCAATTTTAAAGCTTAAAGCTAAAAATAACTAGAAAATAAGAAAATCTCGTATACTGATCGTTAAAATTACTAATGACACACTTAAAAATCAGTATATACATAATTATTTTGCCCCCACTCCATAGAATTCACAAATATGAATATGATTGAACGCTAAAAGCTACTAGGAAACAAATTAATGAAATGCTTGGTTAAAAAAATACAGATTAATAAATTTGAATGTCATTGTAGATTGATCGTCTGGGTAGATGATTTTTATGTAATAACAACATTCAAATTTGCTAGTTGTCCATTCCTAAAAGAACATGTCACTTCTCTTATTTCTAGCATAACATGTGAAAAAGGACGAAGATTGACGAGACTGTTTTTTCTTTTCTTTTTTATTTAATTTGTTCAGAAGGTGGCACGTTTTTATTGGAGAAAAATTAGGGGTTTGAGGAGAGAAAGGAGAGGAAACGAATGAAAAATTAGGAGCTTGTTTAGTTCGTTGATTTGAATTTTTAATTTGAGTTAAGATGTGATTTTATGTGAGAGCTTTTTACTGTAGCAAAAAAGTTAAATGTGAATATTTCTAAGAACTTTTTACTGTAGCAAAACTCAAATTCTAAACTCGAATCAGTGAAATAAATGAGACTTTAAGAACATAAAATTCATAATGTACCTAGAAAATTTCCACAAAAAAAAATGTATACACCAGGAAAATACTAGTAAGTCAACTTCCGTGGTGAAATTCAAAAAAAAAAATATACTAGTAGAGTTTTAGTCGTTTACTATTTAGATTAATTTTTTAATAATGAAATAATTTTATACGATGTATCGTAAATTTTTAATACGAAAATGTACATATTTTACTGTTAAAAAATTAACCAAATTTAGTTGAAATAAAAATGGAAGTTAAACCCTAGAATTTGTCAAAAAGTAAAAAGCATAAAAAAGTACACACTTCTTATCTTCATCTCTAGTAAATCAAAATCAAGCCAGGGGCTGAGCTCTAAAAGAATAGTGCCAAAATTTGCCTATTAGAGGCGTTTGATTCATAAATTAAGACTAAATATTAGAATTATTTTTTATTTATGTGTGTTTTTTATGAAAAAAAATACTGTAATAAATTATGAATCATGATTTAAATTAGAAAATGAATTCTCTGACCAAATATGGCCATGAACCAAACTTAAAGCTGACAAAAGAGTGCTTATTGCTTAATCACTTCCGTACATAAAAGCCCACTTATATAACCACTTCCGGTTAGATTTTGCTGACATGATTTATCAATCAGAAACAAGAATGAAAAAGAAGATTATTATTCCCAAGATTGTTTTTGAGTAACGACATTCTCTGCGCAAGTGCTCCGCAATTTCCTCTGCCTATCTCCCCTCCTTTTCTCTGCCTTGCGAAGGAAGAAAACCCACTTAACACTGAAGATCTCCGAAAGAAAAAAAATATATATTTCAGTTTTCTTCATTTGACCGTGCGTTTCTGAAACTCTCTATGGTAAGCAATCATCATTTGCGATTTTGTTATCATTTCTTGATAACAAATTCCGCGAGTACATGTTTATTCATATCCATTTTATTGTTAAGACTAGTGATTTCCTTTTTGATTACCATTTGTAACTTAAACAGTCTTAAAGAAAAGCTTTCCATGAACAGTTGTTTTTGATCTTCTAACTGTTATGGATTAAAATTCTCCCCTCTAAAAAGTGTTGAATTTGTGTCTTGTGGTTTCATTCGTTTGTGTTCTAAAAGATCTTGTTCGGTAGAGTAGTTTTTGAGTTAAAAACTCAAAAAAAGGTAACTCGAGTTATAATTTTATTCGAGTTCATGTTCTTTTAAGTTTGAACTTGAGTTTGAACTCGAGTTTGGAACTAAAACTCGAGTTCAAGTTTTCCCTTCAACTCGAGTTCAGAAACTCGAACTCAAGTTAATGAACAGTAGTTTTTCTATTATTAAAAATGATATAACTTTTTCGTTTTAATTCTGATTGAGATGATTTTTTTTTCTATGCGTTAACAATGAAAAGACGAATAAAACTAGACCCATATATCCTATTAAAATTTTTCATCAGCATTGAGTTTTTATTAAAATACTATCTAAATACAAATTCAAGTTTTAACTTACTCAAACACAAACTCAAAAAAGATTATTATCTCAAACCATAACTCAAATGTCCACAACCAAACACAAACTCAAATTATAACTTCAATTTAAGTTATAACTCAAATTCAACTTAAAATCTATACTCAAATTACCTAACTCAAAAATATTAAAAGAACAAGCCCCATATGATTCAAGAACTGTTCCGAGAAGTTGTACTTGCGTACTTCTCTGCGAAGAATGGAGCTTAAACTAGAAATTTTTTCAGGTACAAACTGGTTTTCAGGATTTAAGAGAAATTATGGAGTTGTTCTTTTGCAACAAAACTCAGAAAAAATTTAAACTCAAGTTACAACTTTATTCAAGTTCACGTTCTTTTAAATTCTAACTTTATTCAACTTTACTAAACTTTATTCAAGTTATAACTCAAATTCAACTAAAAAACTACACTCAAATTACACTCTGAAAGAACAAGCCCTAAAAAACCGAGCGACAACACAGTTGCGGAAAGGGTGAAAACCCGATGACAAGTTCGGATGGTTCGAGCTCGAAAAAGGTTTGCCAATGAGTTGTTCAAGAGTCGAGGATTGTGGTGATTCGTCAAAAGGAAAGGCAGTGATGCGGGGCAGTGAAGTTGAAGAGCTTAGTGAGAGATTGAAGATTCTTGAAGAAGAGACTCAGATTATGGAGGAAGCATTTTTTGGGAGCTTGGAAGAAAGGAAAAGAATGATGAATGAGATATACAAGCAGTTTCAGCTATTACAAGGCTGCCTTCAACCAAAAAAGCATCGAGTAATAAAAGAAAGTTTTTATGTCAACCCTTTTGAGGTAATGCCCTCCTCTTCTTTTGTGTAAAGTTGATACTAAACAGAATTCAAAGCCGTTTTTCAGCACCATAAAATGTTCATATAATCTATTACTGAAAAATTGTCCTATTTGAACCGTGTTCTTTTTGAAATTTCAATTGTTTCTTTTTAATATATTTGAATGTTGGTGATTTTTGAACTTGTTGTAACAAATTTTCGTGTAACTAAATGATGGGAGATTCAGAAAGAGTTTGCCAAATATCCAAATCCCAGATCCAAAACTATGTCTTCTCACCAAAGAGCTCAAGGCAAATGCTTTGGCCTTCCAAGAACATACTAGAGTAAGCAATTGACTTACATATGACATAAATTCACTCTTTATTGTGCTATATCAGAATATTGAGTGAAACTCTCTTGGTTTGAACTCAAATTTATACTCATTAGATGCATTTTCTTCGGCACAGTGTAGATAACACATCAAGTTTCACCATGATTGACGGGACGGAGCTTCGATCAGAACTGATAATTTTATCGGAATTCGGATGATAACTTATTGACAAAACGAAGTGTGTGGTGCTCTTACAATCTCTACTTAAAGAAAATAATAGAGTCGAGAAGAATTTCATTACGTTATAGTGGCAAAAGTGACATGTTAATAAAGTTTTTACTCTGTTCCACAAACTACACAAACTGGCTTGATATTATTGATACGGAAACATCTTTGTTACTTGAAAACGGAGTTGCGACATACGATTAAGCTAACCTTTTGGCAATTGAAGTGTTTGTCTTTTTTCCTTCTTCCTGGGTTCAAATCAATTGATTATGACGTATGCATAACAATTTTATTGTCATAATGCAACTCTAGGGACGTTTAGTTGGAGGATTTAAACTATAATTTGAATCATAGTTTATGATTCATTACAGTATTTTCTCTCATAAAAAATACACGTAAATCAAAAATGATTCTAATCACATGATTCTAATCCATGAACCAAACGTCTCCTAATTTGATATTAAGATACAAGAAAGCCAAATATGATAAAGAATTGAAAATTACGCCAGAGGTAAGGATTGTTCTTTTTAACTACCAATACGAATGACGTCCTATATTTAAATGTCCATGCTAAATAGTTATAGTTTGCGATACAAAATTACTTTAATAATATATCATTGAAAACTTAATTTAACAATTAAAATAATATTTTCCGTCGGTAGGTAAAAAAGACGGACGATAGTCTCACTAATCTGGACATATTCTAAGACTTTATATCAAATCTATTTTTGAATCACTTTTTTCGGGGCTAATTTGACTCTTGAAGTCTGGGGTCATTCTCCATTTTGTCATTAGAATTTTTAAAACTCTATTTTACCCTCTTTATTTTGAACTCTTCTTACTTAACTTCTTAGGTTAGAATTTATATTAAAAACATATAAAGAAAGACTAACGCCTTAATGTGGTTTTTTTTAAATTTATGTTAAAAACAAATAAAGATCATATGATCACAATTAATCACCACTAATAATAACTTTTACAAAAAAAGACTCAATAGGGGCACTAATTAAGATTAAAAACTTTATCTAGTAAGACTTCTTTACCGGCTACTATTAAGATTAGAAATTTTATCTAGTAAGACTTCTTTACCGGGTACTATTAGTGAAATTTGTTTCTAACTGTTAATATCACAATAGATTAAAAATATATACCGAATAAATATTTATAAATATGATAGTTGAAAATACTTTTTAATAATTTATTTTTTTTAGGACCACGAAGAAAAATCTCCTTAAGATTAACCCTTCTCTTTTATTGTTTACAGTCAGTTAGGTTTATAAATTAGAACTATATAATTAAAATTATTTTTAATTTATATATATTTTTTATAAAAAAAAATATTAATAAATCATAAATCATAATTTAAATAGGGAACGAATTCATTTACCCAATAGTTTACCCGCATTTATCGGTAACATGAGGCATCTCCGTTGCAAAGCTGAAGACATGGAAAATTACTTTTATGGACAACAAAAGTACTCCCAAAGACAGAGATCTACCACTCTCTCTCTCTACTTTAACCACTTGGGGTTGCGTGCAGTATCCCTTCTCTCTCTCTCCTCTGCCCACAACATCTATCACTTCACTTTCACAGTTTTCACACTCAAAAAAAAAAAAAAAAAAAACACCTGAAGTGTGAAGATCCCCCCACACTTTCCCATACTTTCCCGTCGAGTTTTCCCTCATTTTCCATCGATCCAAACATCTTCGTCCAAAAATGGGTATCAACAAAGACGCCAGCACTCCCCCTCCAGTGATTGGCAAAATTGGGCCCTACACAGTTTTCATGACCCCACCTTCCACTCCCTCCCCCAAATCCAAACCCTCGCAGCCACTCTTCGATTCTCCCAAGAAGGTTGTCGTTGCTCCTCCTCCTGTTCAGCCGCCTCCTCAGCAGTTCGACAAGTCCGATGATTCAAATGGTTCTGTTTTTGGGATCTTTAAGAATGCCGTCACCAAAGTCCAGAATGGTATGTGTTTTTGTGTTATTTTTCGTTTTGCTTTGTTGGGTTTTGTCGGATTTTGGTGGTCATGTTTTGGGTTGGAATGTGGAGGTGAAAGGAAATGTTAAGTGGGTTTTTGGTTTGGAAGAAAGTTGAGAAAGGAGAAAAAATAATTTTGATGATTGTTTACTGTTTCTTTTTTCATTTTTTTTTTGGTTATGCATGTTTTTTTCCCCTCCTTTGCTTTATTTTAAGGTCTTTGATGGTCATGTTTTAGTTTCGAAGATGGAGGTGAAAGGAAAAATGAAGTGGGATTTTGGTTCCTGTTTAGGTGTGTTTTTGAGGGTTTTTTTTTGTTTTTTTGTTTTTTTGTTTTCTGTTTTGTTTTAGCTGGCTGGTGGAGGTGAGAGGAAAAATGGGGTGGGGTTTGGTTTGGAAGAGAATTGAGAAAGGAAAGAATGCCCAAGTTTAGTATTTGATTATTGTTTATTGTTTTAGTTGTGGTTTTGGTTTTAGTTTTCTATTGGTAAGCAAGTTTTATTTTTTGCTTGAAAAAATAATTAGTTTTCTGTCCCTTGTTTGGTTACTGAGGAAATGGAGTGTAAGAGATTATATGTTTTGTCTATTTAGGTTTTTCTTTTGCAATTTTTGTTCTTCTTTGTTTTGAGCATAAGATATAATAATTCTTTCAGAATTCAACTCATATTTGGGAATTTCTTATTGGCTTATATTGCAGCGCATTCAAGTCTAGATGACCACTTAGCTCGTTGGTTTGGATTGAATCAGTCAAAGTATCAATGGGCTTTGGATGACTATTATGAGAACAAGGGCTTGGTAAGCATATTGAATTATTGACTTTAGGTTTATGTTGTTGCGGAATAAGAGGTTTACGATTATTTGATATATGATATTGATATCCTGACAAATATAACTATAGTTTAGTCCTTTACAATTGTGTAACTGTGAATCTTTCTTCATATGAAGAGTTTCTTGGAATCACTTTATATTATTCTCTCTGTCCTTCCTTTAGTTGGCAATCCTACAAAATCAAAACTGCTTTTTTTTTTTTTCATGTTCTGCTTTTATTCTGCTGGAGTTGCATATTTTGATCTATTTTTATTTGTATAACATGTTCCATTTGGCGATAATGAGGCATTTTTTTATTATTCTTTTGGTTGCGTCTGTGCATTTAGGAAATCCATTTACAAAATTTTATGAATACTTAGATTTGGATGTGATTTTGATTTCTTTTTCTGTCTTCTGATTGTGTAATTTATTCGAGTCATTTCTTTGTCCCGTAATTTCTTTAATGGGTTCCATCACAAGCTGTTTGTAGGGGTTTTCAACCAATAATCAAATATAGAAATTAGGAGCACACCTTTATTCCGAAACTCTGCTCCTATAGTACCTTTAACTTATACCTTACTGCGACGCTCACCTCCAAACTCAATGCACTTTAGAACTATCCCACATCTTTGACTTTCAGAAGCTTTCTGTAGTGATTCTGCTTTGCCTGAAGTTGAAATTTCACCCCTACTTCTATCAGTCCATTTGTATTGTATACGCGCATGTTCTTGTCGTTTCTGATGCTGTTCTCGGTTCTAGCTTTGTTTGTAGCACATCTTCTTTGAAATAAATTTGCCAACTTTTTAAATGGCCTTTCTTGTTGGAAATTAGATATATGTTCTAATATTGTACGGTCATTAAACACACTACCGTCACTACATGTTTATCATCTTCACTTGTCTTTAGGGAAAGGGAGACGCGAAAGTGAAAGAGATATCAAGTAAAATGCAGAGTGTGTAATATAGTTGCTGGACAGGTAACACGTTGTAAATTGTTGAACTCATACCGAAAAATCTTTATCTGAGCTTCTTTGACTATTGTAACTTTGATCTCGTTTTGCAGTATCAGTTGCTAAAGAGAGCTCATGCCGATTCCTTTCGATCATACTGTACTAATATAATACTTATGTATGCAATTGCTAGAAAGCATCTGAATAGGCACAAAATGGTTATGGAGATCTGGTCAGCGCAATCCTCTACATACCGCAGCAGATGACGGAGTTTGGTTGCGTTACTGCCTATGAGTCACTGAATTAAGTCTGATAGTTTTGGCCAAACTTTTTTTTTTTTTGTTTTGTTTTCATTCCCATCTGTTTTTGAGTCAATTTGTGGCTTCTTTGTACCTTCAGATTGTTGGTGTATTTATATGTTTGGTGAAGACCTTAATCTGAACTGCTGATTATGAGAGAGGTGGTCAAGGATTAATTAGTTGTTGATTGTTCACTACTTTGGATTTGGAATCATATGCTTGGAATTTTTAGCTTTTCTCTTTTGTAATTTCGGCATGATTTTCAATATATTGAGAAGGGAAGATTCTGTTTGGTGGGATAAGGAATGATGACAGTGGTTTGGTGCCTTATAAGATTGCTTCCAAGGTCAAACTGGTAAATTGGAAAGTAACACTAATTTATATAAATTATTGAAAAGAGGAAATGGACAAGACCACTAATAAATAATTAGTTGTTTGGTTAGGGGATTCGTACTTCGATTCGAATCATAGTTTATAATTTGTTATATTATTTTCTCTCATAAAAAATACACGTAAATTGAAAATAGTTTTAATCTCATGATGAGTAGCAACTCTACTTTGTAATAAGCTGGCGTAGCGTGCAATTTGGCATTGATGTCATCTATGAAACCTATCAATGAAATTAACCAGAAATTTGGTCTACATGTCACCGCAGTTTTTGCTAGTGGTTTTAACAGGGTCCAACAAGAAACAAAATACAGGCAATGCTTTTGAATTTTCTGTACCACCTTTGATCAGTTTTTCTTGGATTAGTTGCACAGGTCAAAGACATTCCCTCAGAGCATCTCTGATGTAATGTTATAATTAATATGATAATTATAAATTTAATATTTGAGTGTAAAAAAATATTCTCTAATGTAATACTATTTGTTGTGATAAATTTATCATATGTTATATTTTGTGGTAAATTTCTCACTAACTATAACATATGACGAATTTAGTATTTAATTCTTATTGGTTGATATGATTATTTTTTCATTTAATCATTATAACTTTTATTTTTTAAAATTATTTTAAAATTAAAATTTTACTTTTAGGCCTTTCAAAACTTAAATGATAATAAAAAAATAAAATTTTAACATTTCAAAGCATTATGCACCGTAGCAAAAAGGAAAATAACAAGTCATATCATCCTTTTTAGTGTTAAATTATACAATAGACATTAACATGTGTATTAAAAGGAAAATAACAAGTCATATCATACTTTTTAGTGTTAAATTATACAATAGACATTAACATGTGTATTAAAGACTGTCTTAGAGTGTAAAAGAAAGTGGGCGGGCATGATCGGCCAAGCCTAGTCTGAAATCCCGCATGAGCTGGGCCATCCCACTTTTTATAAGGTAAATGTATATAAAAATTTTAAAAATGGGCCGGACTAGGCGCGATTTTGGGTCCGAGATATTAGGTCCGACCCCAACTGTAGTCGGGCCGTGGCAAAGAGTCTAACTTCAGATCGACCCGTTTGTTCTTGCTCAAACTTGTAGCTTACATCTCGTCATTTTCTTATTTTTCACGTCTTTGATTTGCTTTAAAAACCTGTAAGTGCATTGCTATGTTTTCCCGCAAGAATCATCCTTCCAATGCAACCAATAGAAGTTCAAAGTACAACATGAGTAACAACAACGTTAGGAAAATGTTATACTAAGAAATAATAATTTATTCTGAGTTCTTACTCATTATTACACATGTTCAACATCCGTATTATAATTAAGAAATATCATGATATAATATCTACTTTCTATATTCTTATCTTTATCCTCACACATATAAAAGAGTCAATATCTCTCAGTTAATTTTCGTCGTCCAAAGTGCACCATTTTAGTGCTTTTTTTCTATTTTTATTTTTATTTTGTCCCTTTCCTTTCTTTTTTATTACTAATATTTTCTTTTACCTTTTTTGTTTTGTTATTTTTTGTTTTTGTTTTTTTTTTTTTTTGTTTTGTTTTTTTTTTTTTTTGTTTTGTTTTTTTTTTTAATATATTCTTCTAACATAACCTCTTATATTTAGAATCACTTGGATTTTTTTAACTCTAATTGTTTCAGTACTTTACCTTCTTCTTAACTATATTTGTCTTTCATTGTCTCTTACAAACGTTGTCTTACTTTTTGTTTTGCTTTCTTTTCGGATTTTATTTTTCGTTTTCATTTTTCTTTTTCCTCCATTTGTCTATCGTGTTCCTTACCCCCAATATTCTTCCTACATTTTCCCTTACTGTTCCTCTTATATTTTTTCTTGATTTCAACCTTGTCGCGTTCTCTCATATATTTCTCAAACCTGGAGACGTTTGGTTCATGGATTGTGATTAGAATTATTTTCGATTTACGCGTATTTTTTGTGAGAGAAAACACTGTAGCGAACCAGGAATCATGATTCAAATCATGATTTAAATCCTCCAACCAAACATAATCTTAACTTTCTCATCAGAATAATATCGTTTCCTTGTAATCAATTTTGATTTCTATTATGAGTAATTCCTTTCATTCCTTTCATGATCATTTTTTTTTTTTTGTGCGATTGTGTTTTTAAGTTTCTTTGAACCAAACAACTAAAATGAAAATATCACCTGGTGTATGAAATACAGAAATTTAACTCCTTAATTAATAACTGTCTTTTTTGAGATAGAATCTAGCACAAAATGGCACATGAATGTTTTACAAAGTTGAAAGTAATAAAAAAAGTTAAAAAAAGAAAAAAGAAAAAAAAAACATATCTAAATTAAAAAGTCAAATTGTGTCACCAATCCATATCGTTTGTTTTTCTTTTTAATTTTTATCCCTTGTAAAACCCTAAGCTATTATACTCTACTACATTTTGTCTAATTATAGTCATTAATTAATTAACTCGAGGGATCAAAATATATATTTCATAAATATCATGATAGCTACACCTTTAAAAGAGAATGGTAGCGGGCAAGATAAAAGAAAAACATATCTTAAGAGAATATTTGAGCAAGTAAGCTTTTTTTTTTTTCCCCCCCGAATATCTAAGTAATTCTTCAATTAAAACTTACCTCAAAAAAATATGATCTTTCCAGGTGGATTATTGTAAAAACCTATAATATATTATCAGTTTGATTTTAAGAGTATTGTTCTTGTCATTTTAGTTGAGTTGGTAAAAGCAACTTAGATGTATTACAAACTTTATATTTTTGTCGTTTTTAATTTTGATTGGATTCGTATAGTATGGTGTAGTGAAGGTTGATTAGGAGAATTTTTTTTTGAAAAAAAATTATTTTAGGGGTTGAATGATAACTTCTATTGAATTAAATAATAAAATATGGGATTTGAAAATTATAGGAGTTAGTCCATAAATGACAAGGTAATAAATGGTGACCAAAATGAAATGCGCAAGCTTACAATATAAAACCTAAAGCTCACAAAAAATGTAACACCGTCGAATTCAATCATTTTAAAATGCCTAATGCTTGTGTATGATCCTTGCCCTTTTAAATTAATAGTTTTTAATTCTTGTTGAGGGAGGAGTAAAAATGGAAAAGATTTTGAGTTTGGATAGTTACAGAAAAGGTAAAAGGTAACAATGATCATCACGTGTGTAGCAAGAAGATAAAATGTAATCATTATACGCATTATGTGTGACATCAAGTCATAAATAGCCAAAAAGTAATTTGGCGGTGAGAGAAACCTCATCTCCCTCAGCCTCCTTAGGTTCCTCACTCTGCTACTCCTCTTGCCACTGCTTCCAATACAACACCTATTCTCATCGACAAGCTCATCGAGCTTAGAGGGTTTAAAAGGGCCGGGCCGGTTTCAAAAGGGCCAGGTCGGTTTCAAAAGGGTCGTGTCGGGCCGGTCTGGCCATTCTAATTCCTAGCTCATGACGGGCTTGAGGAGAGACTTTCAGGCTCAGCTCTGATCTTGACTCTTGTCCTTTAAGGCCAGGGTTACTAGGTCAGGCTAGGACTTTTGTGCGAGCTGACCCTTTAGGGCTTTTAGTAGGCAGGTCCAACAGGGCCGACACATTTAAAATTTAATTTTTTATTATTTTTTATATTCTTAGATTTAATGACAAAGAAGAAAAAAAGAAACAAAACAAATAATATTATATACCCTAAAAAGATGTGATTTTATTAAAATAATATGAATCATTAAAAGAAAATGACTACTGTGAAAGAAAAAAAAGTGAAGTAAGTATATAATATAAATATAATTAAATTACATTAAGTGCCCGTGCTACGGGCTTCATAGATGAGGACTGGGCCGAGCCGAATCTTGTTTGGTATTTCATTATTGTGTATTGTGCCCAAGTTTAGTATTTGATTTTTGTTTGTAATTTCGGCATGATTTTTAGTCATATAAATATTGAGAAGGGAAGATTCTGTTTGGTGGGATAAGGAATGATGATAGCGGTTTGGTGCCTTATAGATTGCTTCCAAGGTCAAACTCGTAAATTGCAAAGTAACACTAATTTATATATGTTATTTGTTTAAAAGAGGAATGGACCATTAATAAATGATTAAATGAAGGAGTGAGTAGCAACTCTACTTTGCCTAGCGTAGCGTGCAATTTGGCATTGATATCACTTTATAATCTATGAAACCTATCAATGGGATTAACCACAAATTTGGTTACTTATGTTGACTACCTGTCACCGCAGTTCTTGCTAGTGGTTTTAACAGGGTCCAAGAACAAACAAAATATGATTAGCAAAAAGAAGAAACAAAATATAGGCAATGCTTTTGAATTTTCTATACCACCTTTGACAAGTTTTTCTTCGATTAGTTTTTCTATACGGGTCAAGGGCATCCTGTCAAAAGCCCGGTCCAAAATCCCGCATGGGCCGGCCCATCTCACTTTTTATGAGGTAAATATATAAAAAATAAATAAATAAAAAGGAACCGGACCGGGTGCGACTTTGAGTCTAAAACATTAGGTCTGACCCCAACTTTGCCCGGGCCGGTCCAAAGAGTCGGGCTTCAAATCGGCTCATTTATCCTTACTCAAACTTGCAGCTTTACATTTTGTCATTTTTCCATTTTTCATATCTTTGATTTGCTTTAAAAACCTGTAAGTGCATTGCAATGGTCTTCCCGGAAGAATCATCCTTCTAACGCAACGTATAGAAATTCGAAGTGCAACATGAGTAATAATGACGTTAGGAAGGTGTAAAACTAAGAAATAGGAATTTAGTTACTCTGGCTTATTATTACACCTTTTCAGCATCCATGTTACATTTAAAAAATGAGAGTTTTTCTGATAGTCCGCTCTATTAGTAGTCTTAGTTTTTGATCATTTTATCTGGTTAAAATCACATCAGATTAAAAAAGTATTTAGAATA